TCTTCTGCCGTGTGACACTGCATCAGGACAGTGTATTTGCAAGCCTGGTGTTACTGGACGTGCTTGTGATGTGTGTGATATGGGCTATTACAACCTAACAGCGGATGGCTGCACGTGTAAGTGTAACTATCCTTATGCGTGTGTCTGGTTGTCCGTATGTGTCTGTGTGTGTCTCCGTGTGCAGTCACGTGTCTTCACGTGTCTCTGTGTCCCTGTGTATGTGTATATGTGTGTCTACATGTCCATGTGGCCAAGCATTTGTATGTATGTATGCAGGGGCGTCGGAACCGGTGCGGCAGGTGCGGCCAAAGCCGCACCAATACTTTTCGATTTTTTTAAACATTTCAACCTTGTTGGTGGCTTGTCGACTCTTGTACAGCTACAGTGCGTCCCTCTCTAATCCAGCACTTGTTTATCCAGCACCCTTGCAAACCAGCACACTTTCTGGCAAAACGGATTTTTTCAGTTCATTTTCTATGCTTTAATCCGGCACTTGAATTCCGCCTCCAGCAGCGATTTTCTGCAACAAATCACTCAAACTGTACACAATTCGATTTTCTAATCCAGCAGTTGTACATCGCATACCGTCAGGGGGAATTGTAACATACACAACACATGTAACATACACTTGGGAATATCCTATGCACTCGTATTCCCAAGTGTATGTTATAGATATGCATTCCACGAAGTACTTGGATTGACACAGAAAATCCCTACGTTTTGACGTACGACACAAACATGTACGTCAATAGGTGGGCCGGGTTGGAGGGCAGGATTTTATAATCCAGCACCCTTGTTTATCCAGCAGAAAATGCCGTTGCAAAAGGTGCCGGATTAGAGAGGGACGACTGTACCATGTTTTACATCGACAATGCGGTGTATCATCAGCATGCATATTCTTTTTATTATTCTATATGGCCCAATATCTGAGAAAATCGACCTTCCGGGCTGTTTTGGTGAAATTGATTTTTTTATTGCAAATTGATGTCTAGCCTTTGTAGAGTATTGTGACTTCGTTTCACGGCCATCAGACCAATATTGACTATGTAGAAATGTATTTTACGGTCAGGAGTCATGTTCATGAATTGTTCTTTTTTTTACAATTTTGAAAGATCAGTGTGTTTGGAGCCACCAAAAATTGTTTCCATGTGATATCAATAGCCAACTAATATAGTAGAGTGTTTTGACTGTTCAGGTACTTCATTCCAGCATTCCGTGACTTTATTGAAGCTATGTAGTTGCAACAGCAGCAATAGCAGCATTAGAAGGAGAGGTGATTTATCTGTTCTTCTGGTGATGGACATGCTTGACAGGATAGTCTGCGACAGATTTTGACGGAACACCATGATATCAGCATTCACATACTTATTGTGAACGAGTCAAACAGAGCAAATGCGTCCAGATTCGCCTTGTTGCACTTTGTAGAGACTGATCATTTCCAAACATCAGTAACACAGCCTGACAAGCGTTTCACACCACCAACTCAAAAGTAACAGAATGTTACTCGAGATTGCCCAGCCTCATGTGCTCCGTGATGGTCTGATTCGCCATTATTAGCTCGAGTATCGAGCTTGCCATCCAAAACATTTTAGGATCATCGTCGCAAAGAAAACTCGCATCATTTCGTGCTGTTTTAGCAGGTCTGGCGTGACACTCAGGAAACAGTTCTGCCACCCGCGCAAGGGCGGCCAGCGACCTTGCAAGCGGCGTACCCTCAGGAATCTACTTGGTTGTCCTTGCCTGGAGCTGTAGCATGCAGCTATCGCTGAGGCAGACTGTGGTTGGCCTTGATCATACTCATCCAGGCCAAGTCCACATCATCGTCGCCCCCGACAGGTAAGTACCGCGTGTCACTTGCGATCGATTCGCCTGACATGCGCTCTCAGAACTAGGAGCGCTGTCGCCGCTTGACAGGGTATCCACAAAGAACGATGTATCACCGTCCATGGGATCGCGGCTGCTGTACTCCGTGAGCCCAATAACCAACTGACACAAGAATCGCCTTCAATTTTCTTCCGCCATTGTCGTCTCTGCACTTTGCTTTGACGGAATCGATTTTTTTGCGAACAAATTTGTTTTTAGTGTTTTCTCAAAAAAAACGCGTAGCCCCGAAGGTCGAAAGTCTCAGATATCGGGCCATATGGCTTTTTAGGCCCAATTTTCAAAAAAATTCCCGGGGAGGGCCCCCGGACCCCCTCTCACACTTTGGCCGCACCAATGTTAAACTCCTTCCGACGCCCCTCGTATGTACATGTATGTATGTGTGTAGGTGTGTATATGTGTATATGTATGTGCGTGTGTGCGTACATGTGCATGAATATACGTGTCCATATGTGCGTATGTGTGAAAATGTGTAATTCGGTGACATCCTGTTTCTGCATGCTGTGTTTGTTGTGTTGACATACACAGCCTGTTCCTGCAGTGAGGACGGCTCTAACAGTCCAATCTGTAACATGGTCACTGGCCAGTGTGACTGTATTGGCAATGTACAGGGTTTGAAATGTGACGCCTGTCCAGAAAACTTCCACAACGTCTCCGCAGGATGTATGGGTGAGTGAGAGCATGCAACACAGCGGGTTATGCGAGGATTGTTTACGCAACAGCTCCACCATAGTCATCATATTTACTACTAGTATAGTTGCCATTGTTTTCAAGGTCATCTAACGAAAGTTTTCATTCTGCACTTTTGATTTTTTAAATCAGAAGTGAAGTGTTGATTTGAGATATGCAATGATGTAAGATGTCATGGTGTGCAGCTTGAGACGATAGTCACCATGCACTCCAGCTATGAATTACCATCGTAGTGACTGGTTTCTTTCAGTGTCATAAAAGGACACTCTTTTCACCAGTGTGCATTTTATACTGTATAATGATAATAATGAACAATCGTAAGATATGATATCACTGATGCTTCATTTCTCTGTGTGTATATTGTGTTGTTCTAATGTGCGCAGAGTGCCCTAGCTGCTATGGTTTGGTACTGGATTACATGACTGTGATACGTCGGGACATGACCACGCTGGAGAGCAGCCTGGCCGAGCTCTCCGATCCCACACACTCGGTTTTCAGCGACGACGCCTTCAACAGGTCAGTGAGCGACCTGCTTGCCCAGGTGGAGGCAAACAGCAGGCGGGTCACTCGAATGGCCAGTCTCTCACTCTCACTGAAAGTGCACCTAGCTCCGTTCCTGCGCAGCCTGGCAAGACTGCGTGTCCAAATCGATGGCTTGGAAAACACCAATCTCACGCAGCTGACCGGGGAAATCCTGTCAGCAAATGCGTACCTGGGTCAGCTAGAGGTCACTGTAAGAGAGACCAATTCCAGTGCTTACAGTATGAAGGCAACGCTATCGGGACACGCAGTGGACCTCTTGGCGAATGTCCGCACGCTCTTCGAGAACCAGACCGAGCAAGTAAGTGTGTCACTGTGTGTGTGTGTGTGTGTGTGTGTGTGTGTGTGTGTGTGTGTGTGTGTGTGTGTGTGTGTGTGTGTGTGTTGTTGTTGTTGATTTTTATTTTACTTCGCAAGGCCAAACGGGCAATGGTGCCCAATTCTATGGAAGCGAATTTCAAAAGGGAGAGAGCTACGGGGAGAGAGAGAGAGAGAGAGAGAGAGAGAGAGAGAGAGGGGGGGGGAGGGAGGGAGATGATCAGCAATTTTGCAGCGTCAACAGAGCGATTTTGCAGTGTGTGTGTGTGTTTCTTTCATTCTCCTGGGTGGTTACCAACAGCCAGTGCATGCCGGAGTATGTGGTGTGATGTGTGTGCGGGAAACAAATTAAAAAGACCAAAAAGTAGGGATTCACTGGCCACAAAAAGCCACTTCATAGCTGTGTGGTGTAGACCAGGCTGAATAGTGGCGGTCAATTCTTCAGCCTTGCAAGCTGTTGAATGGTGCAATCCCAGCACAAGTTGCCATGGCTTCTGCCGTAGCATCGCTATCATCGCCTTCGGCGATGGGCGTCAAAAGGTCAAAAGGTGTGTGTGTGTGTGTGTGTGTGTGTGTGTGTGTGTGTGTGTGTGTGTGTGTGTGTGTGTGTGTGTGTGTGTGTGTGTGTGTGTGTATGCTGTGCCTGCTTGCAATGCCCTATAGGCATTTCTTGTTCTGCTACCAGCAGGTTTGCCATATTCATTTGATATGCTCCACATTGAGCTAAAAATATGCTTTCATTGGGACTTTTATTATAGTCTGGCTTTTGTCGTGTTTTAGCACCCTGTCCCTGACACCCTGTCCCTGACACCCTGTCCCTGACACCCTGTCCCTGACACACTCACCGTACTCAACAGCAACAATAACTAAAAGGGATTAGTGTTTGGAGAAAGTGTACTGCTTCGAGAATTGGCGGCATGATCCAGAAGCTGAAAGGGCCAGAAAACAAATTGGTGGCATGATGCAGAAGCTAAAAGGGCCGGAAAGCAATGTCAGGCCGCCGGCAGAAATTTGCTCATGAGGAGCTGTAATAAACCCATTATAGGGGCGGGCAAGGTAGGGGGTGGGGTGGGGGGGGGGGGTGGTGGCAATGAATGCCAAACAAATGGTATCTACTGGCCTGTGATGAGCCGCAACTAGCGAAGGAATTGGCCAGTTAGGCTGAGCAATAGGGCAAATGACCACGTGTAGCTTTGCCAAGAGGATATGATGGGAGGGATGGAAGGGAGGGATGGAGGGATGGAAGGAAGGGAGGGATGGAAGGGAGGGATGGAGGGATGGAAGGGAGGGATGGAGGGATGGAAGGTGAAAATTAGAAGCTGGCACAAGCTAGGAACAATCAAATATTTGGCTTCGTAATGAGAACGGTAAGAAGAAAGTGAAATCAAGCAGTTGAGTACATTCAGGAGCGACGCGTGATTTTGATTGACGTTGCCATGGGAAGACTAAGCATGACGTCAGGCTAGGCATGGTGCTGAGCTGGCAATGTTAGCGAAGTGCCGCAATAGACTGAAGCAGCTGTATGCGAGGAACGCAAACACGGTAGTGTGTGTTCACTGGATGCTACCACGCACTAAGTTAGTCAGTGTGCCACTATGCAAGCATGAAATGCAGGGAAGATTAGTAGTGTAAGTTAGGAGGGGAACTTACTGCATTTACCCGAAAATAAGTCGCACCTTTTTGCAACAAATTCCAAGGTTGAATAGGGGAGTGCGACTCACAATCAAGTGCGGCCTTATTACTGACATGAACATGCTGAAGCCCGCATACGACGAAGACCCCAACATGAGGGTGCAACGTATAAATTGCATGTGACTTACAAGCTGGGAAATACGGCATTGTCCTGTTGATGGAGTACTGTATGTGTCAATGCGTTCACTGCTTTACAGGTGTCCAGTACAGAGCGGTTGATCAATGAGTCAGTCTCCCTGGCAGCAGATCAGGCACAGCTTCTAGAGGACACCGAGCAGGCAGCCTCAGATCTCCGAGAGGGAGTGAGTGCACTGCAGCCAGCTGCCGACCAAGTCAACGATACTCTACACGAGAATGAAGGACGTCTGGCTGACCTCGCCGAGCAGGTACAGGATGTGGAGAACAGTCTTACAGCCGCTCAAAGTGCGGCCGATGAAGCTCGCAGCAATGCCAATCAAGCACTGGACGATGCCACCCAGTTGTTCAGTGCAGCCAATACGGAAGATCTTGAGGCAGCACTAGAGCAGGGCCAGGAGACGGTCATCGACACAGCGAGAAGTCTCCAGCGGATCAACTCTGAATCGTCTGATCTTATGCAGAGCGTCATAGCCAGTGCGGAAACCCTAGGAACAGTCAGTTTAGATGCTGATAAGGCCTCTACTGCGTACAATGCAGTCGAGAGTGAGCTACAGCGTCTCGCCGCGGAGCTGGCCAGCACTGAACTTGTAAGCACTGCTGCACTCAAAAGATCTATTACTTTCTGTGATTGCCATCCTTGACTTGGCTTTCTATGAACCTGGTGTCAAAACTGACCAATGGTGCCATTGTGCCGAGCTTCCCCTACTGTGCCTGGCCTGTGGGTGTATATGTGGGTGTATATGTGTGTGTGTGTGTGTGTGTGTGTGTGTGTGTGTGTGTGTGTGTCTGCGTCTGTGTCTGTGTTAGTGCGTCTGTGTGTATCTATGTTTTTGTTTGTGTGTCTGTGTGCATGCAAGTGTGTGCACGTGCACATGTGAACGCAAACGCTCTGTTCTATAATTATGTAGGACTCTGACAGCAGTCAGGGCTCTCATAGCAGTCACTGCCCCTAATACCAGTCATACAGTCACAGATCCTGAGTCCTACATATATTCCCCTTTCATCCTTCTCTGTAGCTAGCTTTGGCGTTGTGAGGCACAGTCAACTTTGCGTATAACGACACTCGGCGGGGCGTCAGAAAAGTGTCCTTATTCGCGAAGTGTCCTTTTACCCGAAGTCTCATTATAATTATGTATACAGGTAGAATGGACTTTGCTCTGGGCATGGAAATTCTGTCGTCATTCGCGAATTGTCGTTAGATCCACAGTCGTTATTAGCGAAGTTGACAGCACATGACCTCCTTTAACCCTGCGCGTGTAATCTGCATTGTATACTCTCCATCTTGAACACACTTTTGGTCCAGAACCTGAGAAGCCATCCATTGTTTATTTTCTTGAGGTAATGCTGCGGGTCTTTGTTGTCTTGTACCCTCTGTTCACCGTATTGAACATCATTTGATTCCCAAATGCGTGTAAAAAGGTGTCATTGTGCAGAACTGAACAGGAGCTACTGCTTTGGGTACAATAGTGTTTGCTAGCGACCACTGTGAGTGCAATATTGTTCTCTCCTTTTCTTTATCCTCCTCTTTTTCTCAGTCTGTCAACAACTCTGTAGACCGCCAGCTGGAACTGTTCAGCCAAGCGCGGGACATGAAGGAGACGCTGACCGACTTCCATGCCAAGGTCACGGCCGATCGCAGTCGAGCAGATGCAGCCGAAGCCGACGTCAGCACTGCTGCTGATCTGGTGGTGCAAGCACGGCGGCTGATGAATGCAGTGAGTTTTCTATAATCGTATTGAATATAGAAAGTCGTTTTGTGGTGATCAGCTCACGAATTTCATCTTAGCCCAGATCATGTGAACTTTTAGACTGAACTGGACTAAAGACTGAACTGAAGACAAGGGATGAACGAACTAGGATGAACAAGATAAAACAAGACTCAGACTGAAGTCACGACTAAACTGGATTGGGAACTGAAGGACAGGTGTAGACAAGAAATTCACATCCAACTCTAGCTCTAGCTAAGGACGTATGAATGGTAGCAATGAACGATTGCAGTAACGCATCACTGGTCACATTGTCTGCAAAGAAGAATACAGAATAATACTATTATTCTCTAATAATCTAATGCAGCTAGCAATAGGCCTAATAGTGCCAGCAATGAATTGTGAAATACATAGTGAGTGGTTTGTGTTGGGGAAAGTCTGTCTGCTACACATGTTCTTCATTATTTCCTTCTCACAATAAAATACTGCGACAGAGCTTTCGGCCATAGACCATCCTCCAGCTGTCTAGAGGCATCAAATATTATCTGTCAACGGAAGTGTCCTTGCTGTGCTGGTGTTTTTATGCTTCGTGCATTGGTTTGGCTAAGAGCACATAGTGGTGTCGGGTGGAGGATATATTTCCTCCTCTGCCTCGAAACTAGCTTCGACAATAACACGTTTTGTGTATCCAGCAATCGGTCCGTTGATGTTCTGTACATAACTTCGGAATAGCAGGGGTAATGCCTGGCTTGTGGAATCCATTGCCAACCTGCTCTTTATTGGACCTAACAACGGTTTGATAATCATGCCTGTGCATGTGTTCTGCCTGCCCATCATGCCTGTGCATGTGTTCTGCCTGCCCATCATGCCTGTGTGTTCTGCCTGCCCATCATGCCTGTGTGGTCTGCCTGCCCATCATGCCTGTGTGTTCTGCCTGCCCATCATGCCTGTGTGTTCTGCCTGCCCATCATGCCTGTGTGTTCTGCCTGCCCATCATGCCTGTGTGTTCTGCCTGCCCATCATGCCTGTGTGTTCTGCCTGCCCATCATGCCTGTGTGTTCTGCCTGCCCATCATGCCTGTGTGTTCTGCCTGCCCATCATGCCTGTGTGTTCTGCCTGCCCATCATGCCTGTGTGTTCTGCCTGCCCATCATGCCTGTGTGTTCTGCCTGCCCATCATGCCTGTGTGTTCTGCCTGCCCATCATGCCTGTGTGTTCTGCCTGCCCATCATGCCTGTGTGTTCTGCCTGCCCATCATGCCTGTGTGTTCTGCCTGCCCATCATGCCTGTGTGTTCTGCCTGCCCATCATGCCTGTGTGTTCTGCCTGCCCATCATGCCTGTGTGTTCTGCCTGCCCATCATGCCTGTGTGTTCTGCCTGCCCATCATGCCTGTGCATGTGTTCTGCCTGCCCAGGCACACAGAGAGTTTAACAGCACTGGTGCAGCAGTTCAGAGTTCACTGAGCACTGCTAACACCACCCTGATCCAACTGCAGAGATTGACTGAGGTAAGTGTTGAAACTTAGTACTGATCGGCTTGTCCACACCAGAAGAAAGAAGTGACAGAGCAAGTTTTGTGCACCCGCACATGTTCTCCAGGTGTCAGGGGCCATGAACAGTCTTTCACTCTCCGAGACCGTTGCGCAACAACAAGGAACAGCATGCAATTGCTTGTGGTGTTTAGTTGGCTTGTTGTTTGCACTCTCGGACAACAGTTGCTCCTTTGGAGCAAGAAACCGTAAACAGAATACAGTCAAACCTCGTCAGGATGAACTTCAAGGGACTGAACAAGTTTGTTTGTCTTATCCGGAGTTCTTCTTATCCAGATCTAATAAGAAAAATTCATATGCATATCATTATGGATTGTATTTACAAAAATCTACAGGCCGCAGCACATGTAAAGCATTCTTTTCATAACATAACCCAGCAACGGGTAAGTACAATATGCAATGAATTCATGACAGTATTTCTTCTGCCTTGTAACATGTTTTGCCAGTACAAGAGGCCTCGACTATCGGAAACAACTACAGCCAGTGCACTCACAGCCAGTGCACTCACAGCCAGTGCACTCACAGCCAGTGCACTCACAGCCAATGCACTCACAGCCAATGCACTCACAGCCAATGCACTCACAGTCAGTGCACTCACAGCCAGTGCACTCACAGCCAGTGCACTCACAGCAGGCGCGTCGGAACGACTTTGGAAGTGGGGCGGCCATGGAAGGGGGGTCCGGGGGTCCTCCCCCGGGAAAAAATTTCAAAAATTAAAGCCAATTGCAAGCATTTCCGGGCATTTGGTGCCATTTCAGTGTACGGTAACTACAATGAAAGACTTTTTGATTCTGCAAAAAACCAAGAAGATGCTACGATCGGGGACAAACATTACCCTCCCCGGGAAAAAAATTCAAAAATTGAAGCCAATTGCAAGCATTCCCAGGCATTTGGTGCCATTCCAGTGTACATGGACTTTTGATTCTGCAACAAACCACGATCGGGGACAAGGATTTGCCACGTTTGCGCTGAGATCATCGAGCTTTGTTGCAGTGTGCTAAAAAAAAAAAAAAAAAAAAAAACCGCCGAAAAAGTGGGGCGGCCATGGCCACCCCGGCCGGTGCGGTTCCGACGCCCTTGCACAGCCAGTGCACTCACAGCCAGTGCACTCACAGCCAGTGCACTCACAGCCAGTGCACTCACAGCCAGTGCACTCACAGCCAGTGCACTCACAGTGCAATGCACTCACAGTCAATGCACTCACGGGGACCGAAAGTTCATACTACATGCTAGTTTTGTTCAAATCACGCTTGAAATTAGTTCGTCTTCACAAGAGTTTGCCGTACAGGAGTTCGTCGTAAACAAATAATTTTGACTTGATATGATGCCTGGCCAACCATAGGATTGGCCCTAGTTCGTACTAATGGAAAGTTGGCCTTATCAGTGTTCGTCCTAACGAGCTTTGACTGTATCTATTTTCACAATAACTCCAATCATGCTATGGTGGCTGTGATGGATATTATTCTTTACTACTCTGCTATTGTAAGGTGCTGGCCAGGGAAATACAGCCTCATGAATAAAATAGAGTTGCTGGGCGCTACACAGCCCTAGCACTACACATACTGGTCTGTGCACTCGAACTCAGCGCTACTTTATTCATGAGGTTGGATTTCTCTGCGGTCAGAACTGTAGTATCAATGGTGTTCCTTTGTATGCCTCTTCTGTGTGCTCATTAGCATGCAGTTTTGGCCAACACGGAGAGCAACATTGCCGATGTCAATGCATTGGAAGCTGCATCAATGGTGCTACGTCGCAGAGCATCTCAACTGCTGAACACGTCCCGGGCAAGCCTACAGACGGCCCGTGCAAACAGGGAGCTGGTCGGGGGTATCAAGCGAATGATGGACGTTCTGGCCAGTCGGTTAGTTGATCAGCGCCAGCGCTTAGCATCTGGCAACCAAGAGTTGGACTCCCTTTTCAGCACTCTAGAGGGCTATTTAGAGGGTAAGTGTGGTGTTGACGGTTACTGTGTGTCTGCTGATATCGGACTTCAAATACTGTGTTGGTCCATTGGACTTATAATCTTATATCAAATATACATGTTAAAACTTTCTTAGAATTTCCTGAGGCCCTCCGCTGTTTTAGGGTGTCACAAACCTTCGCGTACAGTCCAGTCTTAGCTTCTCTCCCTCACTCTCTATCTCTCTCCCTCACTCTCTATCTCTCTCCCTCTCTCTCATTCTAGCTACATGTACATGTATCTGCGCGTATCTCTGTCTATCACTTGTCCTCTCTTCCGAACACTTCTTCCTCTTCTAGGCCTCACCCTTTATCTTGTGGTATTTACTCTTCTCTGCTGTGTGTGTGTGTGTGTGTCTGTCTGTGTGTCTGTCTGCTTGTGTGTGTGTTTGTTTGTGTGTTTGTTTGTGTGTGTATGTGTGTGTGTGGGGGGGGGGGGGTTGTGTGTGTGTGTGTGTGTGTGTGTGTGTGTGTGTGTGTCTGTGTTTGGTCGGTAATTCACCTGCTTCTGCTTCAAACATGCGCAGCCGTATTCCCAGTGGACGCAGCGATACTGAGCTCCGAGAATAGACTGGCTGTGTTCAAGGCCCAGCGCGATGCAGTCGGCTTCCCAGCCTTGCTCTCAACTCTGGAAGGTAGCGGTAGGGAGCTGGACGCAGACGTAGCTGAAGCGGTGGAGAACCTGCGTCAAGCTAACCTCACTGTGGCCCAACTCCAGGTCAAGGACACTGACCTGCCCACGGAGTGTATACGAAAGGAGCCCATTACTCCGCAGCCATAGATTCTAACGCGGCTAGTGGTACAGCAACATCCTGCTTGTCGAAAGCACTTTCTCTGTGCAAGTACCTATCGATAGGGTGGCAGCCCACACTGGTAGGGAGAGTGTGAAGACCTCACTTGTGCACTATCAGCACTGAACCCGACCCTCAGCAGGGATTGCGAGGAAACGGCTATCGGATTGCGCTGCTCCGCATATGTTCCATCAATGAGCCGCAGGCCCTGCAATGTATTATGCGCTAGCTGTTTGAAAGCTATTGATAAACAACACAACTCACTGCACTAAAGCATAGAACCCCTGTAACAGTGTTGGAGAGTACAGTACCCATAACTGACTGCTAACCCTATTATATAGCCTAGTGACCTTGAGAAGTAACATCAACATGTTCGAACTTCTAATTATTATCCACAATGTACGGGTGAAGCCGGAGGTGCCGGCGTGTGTCACAACTGCCGTATGTGCATTGCTAACAATCATAATGCTAATACTTCATTTACACAATCTAATCAGTTCTATGGGTGTTTTGTGACACATACATGTGCTTTTCTGTTTGTTACTTCGAGTAGAAGTGTATCATGAATGTGTACCGCCGGTGCTGCTCAATGAAATTCAATCGCCAGACTGTACACAGGACACAATGCAACCCTACTACTAAAAATGGGTTTCGGATGGTGCGCACTTCGCGATCGAATTTCAATGAGTATTTTAAACACTACCTGGCCAAATTGTTTTTGCTCGAAGAAATACAGCAAAGCAATGATGCTATTTTGTGCCCCGAACATGAATGGTATGACCAATTTAAAGTTCCACAGACCCACCACCCTTTGGAAGAGACTGCAGTGGCTGCAAAAAAGGGGGACTGGACTTCCTGTTCAGGGTTTCAGAGCTCGGTCACTGCATTCAATCTCCTATTTGAAGAAGAGAGACAATGACAGACCAAAACCGCTATGACATTTGTAGTTTGTGCCAACTGTATTGGATATTCTCCATAAAGTCAAATCGGATTGGATCAGCAATCTACCCATCGAGAGGGACAGCAATATGAGGAGTGCTTCTGCACTGTGGCAAAAACTAGTTGGAATAGATAATGACAAAGACAGTACAAAGAATCACTCATAGTTTTGGTAAAGGAAAGTTTAGAAGCACTTGCGATGGACAATGCTGGGACCAGATTCATCATACTCCTGCTTGGAGATCCACATCTGCTGGAAGGTGGACAGCGAGGCCAGGATGGAGCCACCAATCCATACGGAATATTTGCGCTCTGGTGGGGCGATGATCTTGATCTTCATTGTCGGTGGAGCCAATGCGGAGATTTCCTTCTGCATACGGTCGGCAATACCTGGGTACATGGTGGTACCACCGGACAAGACAGTGTTGGCATACAGATCCTTACGGATGTCGACGTCACACTTCATGATGGAGTTGTAGGTGGTCTCGTGGATACCAGCGGCTTCCATTCCGAGGAAGGCCGGCTGGAAGAGAGCCTCAGGAGCACGGAATCGCTCGTTGCCAATGGTGATGACCTGACCGTCAGGAAGCTCGTAGCTCTTCTCCAGGGTAGAACTTGATGCAGCGGTCGACATTTCCGCCTCGAAGTCGAGGGCAACATAGCAGAGCTTCTCCTTGATGTCACGGACGATTTCACGCTCAGCAGTGGTGGTGAAAGAGTATCCACGCTCGGTGAGGATCTTCATGAGATAGTCGGTCAAGTCACGGCCAGCCAAGTCGAGACGGAGGATGGCGTGGGGAAGGGCATATCCCTCGTAGATTGGGACGGTGTGAGTTACACCATCACCGGAGTCCAAGACGATACCGGTGGTACGTCCAGAGGCGTACAGGGAGAGCACAGCCTGGATGGCGACGTACATGGCAGGGGTGTTGAAGGTCTCGAACATGATCTGAAACAGACAAGAAAGGAACAATAAAATAATGAGTGCAGAAAGTACCATCCATTTCACTTTGATCAAGAGGCAGTCATTGTTCATAAAGATTTCTCGGTTGGAGAGTGGAGACAAACTTCAGCGTAAAACCTCCCTGGCTCCACACCCCTGCTACAACGGTCAGTTTCTTCCACGTATGACGAGATAATACTAGTCTTCAAAGTTAATACACACAAGTACTCTATCCGTACGAAACACTACAATCTGTTATTGATAACCAATAATTTGCACACAAAAAACAGGAATCGGTAATGGAGAAAGTGATACACCATACAGTGCAATATTTACCTGGGTCATCTTTTCACGGTTAGCCTTGGGGTTGAGGGGAGCCTCCGTCAGGAGGACGGGATGCTCCTCTGGGGCAACACGCAACTCATTGTAGAAAGTGTGATGCCAGATCTGCAATGGAGAAGCCAACACACAAACACATGCATGTACATTGAATACATGATACAGCACAGAAGCAGGAAGTTCACATATTCACGATCCAGCACCCAGGGAATAATGCCCTTGTATATTTTCTACGCCTATTTTTCAACGACTACTTCTCTCAAAAACTTATTGCGCTGCTTATTATTATTTTGGTCTTTGTATATCACTATACTTGAGAACTCCTCTGATCATGATCTCGATGAAAGCAGCGCATTAAGTTTTTTGAGAGAAGTCATCGCCATATTTCCCTTCCGAAAAAGCATACCGGGTACCATGCTGGTAAGGCATATGTGGGACTTGCCGGGCCGGGAACTGAAGGAATGGCTTCAAAGTTCAAACCGTGGCATACTTCCCCTGGCGACGGGATTCCCCGGCTTCCTCCAAAACATTTACTCCCCTTGCAGTAACATGGCAGCTCGGGCTCAGTGGACTTCCGGCTAGTCCTGAGACGGGTTCTCAACTTCAGGTTCGACTCCGCTGTCGACAGCGCATAGTCGCAGAAAATAGGCGTAGAAACGGTAGATTCGAAGAAACAAAATATGCGTGCGTGCGTGCACTCTCCCAGTCAAAAAAACCAAGATTACGCCCTAGTCCGAACACCTTTGCTTCAAGCGGAAGTAAAGACAGTACTAGTAATGAGCATCAGTAGAAAGTATAATGTGTACTGCGGAAATGCGAACAACGCCAATACTAATAGGCAATGGCTGGACCATTCGGAAAATTAGTAATATCATCGCAATGCCTCCTTACCTTCTCCATATCATCCCAGTTGGTGACGATACCGTGCTCGATGGGGTACTTGAGGGTCAGGATACCTCTCTTGGACTGGGCTTCGTCTCCGACGTAGCTGTCCTTCTGGCCCATGCCGACCATCACACCCTGATGGCGGGGACGACCGACGATGGACGGGAAGACGGCACGAGGTGCGTCGTCACCAGCGAAACCGGCTTTGCACATACCGGAACCATTGTCTACAACGAGTGCGGCAACTTCGTCGTCACACATTTTCGTTTCGGATGGAAGAAGGATGAGCTACGCGAGAAGATAAAACGGCGAACCACGACCGGTAGCGAAGAATTTTTACTGAGCTGAAAACGTCTTCCGGACGGATGCGTCCACCGTTATATACACTGACAGTAGAGTGTACTCAGCTGGCGTTGTGGATTCTTTTCTCAGTACTGCGAGCACAGTGAGCTCGGGGTTCTGAGAAAGCAATTTTGTTCGTCCAATAAACGCTCTGCAGCAGAGTGCTAATGGTTCCCACGCGCACTGCAGTGCGTGTGCGAGCCAAAACATTCCTCACTCAGCCCCCCTAGCGCTTGCCCTGGGCTAGCGCCTGGCATTCACACGTCTAAATAAGTCGTGTTTTCACGCGGACTACCTGCATGAATCACCATGATCACGGTCGGTGAATAGCCGCATTGCTGCTGAGTGATATAGACATTCTGACATGTCACATGACAATCGACATGGCAACAGCGAATCCTAGCGCGACTTGCCGTGCTTTGAATCAGCCACTGAAGACACGTGAGCGCTTGCAGGTCTCCGATTTTCCAATCGGAGCACGCCCAGGCGTGCTCCGATTGAATCGGAGCACGCCTAGGCGTGCTCCGATTCAGCCATCAGAGGCCGCTTTTTTTTTTAGAAAAGAGATGGCTGCAGTTCTGGATGGAGAGTCTCCAACTGCAACCAATGCTGCTACCCGTGCTCTTACAGCGCCAACAACGAGCGTTCAGCGATCACAGCAGCAGACTGAGTTCCACGATCCCGACACTGATGAGTACATCGCAACTTGTGACCCAACAGTGCAATCCCCAACTCACCAACGGTCTCTGATGCAGAAAGCTACGAAGACCATCAACTTTTCCGGAGCTCAGTTTGGTGCAAACTGCAATGTTCACCTGCACCTGTAGGCTGTAGGCTGTAGTCACTGCGAAGAAGAGAAGCTGAACTGACCTGGTTTTTAGCTGACTAGACCGCCCTTGTTTTATCTCTGTGTTGTGACTGTGTACATTAGTCATTATGTAACATGTCTGAAGTACTAAACTGGCGACTAGTTGTGTTCCTTGTCTGGTCTAGTGTGCGTGCCTTGAGTAGGTACTAGGTATGTGTGAAGTACTACATGTAGTAGTACTAGTAGTACGAAGTAGTTCGTGCAATGCATGTCAGAAATGGTATCAAAGCATTCGTACTCGGACTCAAGTGCTAGAATCGGAGCCCTCCGCGCTAGCGCGCGTCGGGCTCCGATTCCGCACTTTCGTCCTCGTACTCATGCTCGATTCCATACGTCTGTGATACCGCATGCTGCGGGTTTCTAGAATCATACCCGGCGACAGACGCACCATGTTACTACAGTCATGTACTACAGACTAGT